TTTTTTATATATAGCGAACGATCCGAACATGGGCTTATCGCGAACAACGAGCCGTGTTGACAGCCCTACTGATTAAGTTGTCCAAAGAGGCAGGCTTAGATGTTGGCTACATGCATTTCATGAGATATTTATTCTAAGAAAATGTGAGAAATCCGATATATAATTGTTAGGAAAACATTAGAATATAAGTCAAAATTCTAAGCAATTCCAATGCATAATATGCCACATAACTAATCATGCGAATGCAAATACAGTATTTATTGTAGGAAAATGAGAAATTGACACATCAAGTGCAAGAAAAATATGGCATAGATTAAGAGAATAATATACATAAATACCACTCAATTCCTATGTATTTACATCTCTAACACCTAATCTTAAAATTTTACAGAAAAGGTGTCTTTTCACTTTTTAAATGTTAAAATAGAAACATTTTTGATGTGATATGAATGATTTGGGTGGTAGAAATGTAAAAATCAAATGTTAAGTATTAGATATGTAAATATATAGGAATCGAGTGGTATGTATGTAAATGCCCCAAATTAAAATTGTAAGGCAATTTAACACAGCTCATGTTAAAAATCGCATGATTAAATAATATTGAAGACACAAGAAGCACAATAAATCCCTCTGATTAAGAGCTCTCTCTCACGACAAGAGGCCTCCTGGAGGATTTGTTTTCAAATTATTAATCTTAAGATGACTGATCTGTAATTAGCAAGGAATCAAATGAAAGAAGATTCTAAATGTTACCCATAAAAAAAGGTAAGCGAGCGAGGACAACATTGATAAGGATATCTAGCTCTTTTGCTGGTAGATTTCAATCCATAAAGCATAGAGACTTTCGAGTGGTATTCGTGTTGTATGACACGAACAAGGCTCCGACATGCCCTGACAATTAAGCATAAAAGCTTGCCCTTGGACTGTCGTATCCTACTTTTTTCATTTATGCCGTGTTAGCATGTTTGTGTCCCCATGTTCGTGCTTCAATTGAAGCCTTCTATAAAAACTCCATTAGTTTTACCATGAAGTTTATTCTACTATAATTATCTTATTGCCCTTGGAGTGTCGTATCGTACTTTTTGCATTTATGCCGTGTTAGCATGTTTGTGTCCCCATGTTCGTGCTTCAATTGAAGCCTTCTATAAAAACTCCAATAGTTTTACCATGAAGTTTAACTATAGACAAATAGCTTATTCTACTAAATTTATCTTATTGACAGCCAGTTATAATGAAAAACAAATCAGTAACCTTGCACTTGAAATTAAAAATTTTACTCAATAAATATGACATTATTGTTAGCAGTTTTGTATGGCAAATACCATGTTAAAGGAGGTATATTATTAAAGGAGGGTTTTCATAGACCCATCTAAAGAAAGTTTGAAGAAAAATGTAAAGCATTTATATTGAGATAAAAGGAAAATTACAGTTTGAAAAGTAGACTGAGACTATGTTTGGCTTACTTCTGCTCCTGAGATAATTGCTCCACTTGCTGTTTGTCGCCTATAGATTTTCCATCTACATTTGTCAGCATTTGCTTAGAAGATGATTTATCTTCGCCCTCCTGGCGGGATTCATCAGAATTCATTTCAGAGATAGCAAGAGAGCTCGAGGAAGGCTCGGCCATGGCCGATCTCTCTGCAGGAACAAATGTATTGTTGTGTCCTTGAGACCAATAGAGAATCATCTTCTTATCATCGTCTCTCATCCTCTTTGCATATTCTTTGATTTCAAATCCTGCTTCGTTCTTCCCACCGAATGCTTGTTCGAGTTCATCCATGTTGAAAAGATCCTCCATTAGTTTCATGGAGTTTTGATTGTCAGAGTATACAAACTTAACTTTTCTGGAAGTTTTAGGTTCTAGAAATGGTTTAACCACCTGCAAGAAATTTCTTCACAGTTTATGCTCAATCTAGATTAATATATGATTGAAGATGAAGTTTGTACTTTTTTGCTTCGGGAAGGGGGGGTATGCATGAAAACAAATAAGAACCAAGTGGTATGCATGTAAATATTCCATCATTATAAATAAATTACACAAATATTGATCTTTTTAAAATTTAGATAAGTGCTAAGAAAAAATCGGATATTTTAGCCTTGCAAACATTCATGCAGAACTCACAAAGTATGTGAAGCTTTCAAAGAACATTAAGTTGGTTGATAAAGCAAATAAAATTAGTACGTTTATTGCAGCAGTCAGAGCTCTCAACCATTAGGAAATTACCTGATTTGTCTCACAAGCCTCATGACTTCTTGGTGCAACTTTTTAGGAGGTCATGCATCCTAGGAGTGTTGCAACATAAATATGCTTAATTATGGAGTTTCCAGTAAATCTTCAATAGCTACACAGATGATTCATATTTAAGAGTTCAACTTCATTATGCTTGAGAGATCTTACAATCTACACCACGAAAACAATTGGCAATGCAAATGAATTGAGTTTTTTGACAAACTACTGGTGACTTGGCTCAGTTATAGCTCGATCATGATCTTTTAATTAACTAATTTAACAAACTTAAATGTTTTTATAAATGTGTGATAGTTATATTAATAAGCTTGTTACTTGATTCATCAAGATCAGAAACAATATTATTTAAAAATTGTGAATAAGTTTGTTAAAAAGTTCGATTAATCATTAATGTGCAAATAAAGGTATGTGTATTATAAATATAGATATATAATTTTAACTATATTTAAAAATTTCAAAAGTTTATAGTATAAATATATAAATATAAACATGTTTATAATGAGTACATTAATTCCCGTAGCCTAATTTCCCATGCCTGCAACCCCCAACAATCACACAACTCGTTCAGTCCAATATCATAGAGGAGAGTTAGCATGGCCCAGTTTAAAAGTTAAAAAAGAGCTCCATAGTTAAGCTTGTAACTCACTTGATCGGTGTGGCTGTCGGAAAGCACGTATTAATGAGATATTTTATTGTACATGATTTTTAAAATATTTTTTTGAAATCTATTTAAAATTAAAATATAATATTTTAAGATCAATTGGCTTAGCTCATCAAACCTCGATAATGCCTATTTGTATTTCAAAATGAGCTACTCGTTCAATGTTTGATTATCTCAAAATGAATTAAGCTAAGTCAAGCTCAAACCAAGCTCAAACAACCCAAAATTTAAACGAACCGAGCTTGAATATAATTAGAAAAGCTCCAATATGAACCATGTGTGAACATTGTTTTGATAAATGAGCTCAAGCTCGAATAGTGTTTTTCTTGGCTCTGCCTCAACCATTACAAAATTGTTCGATTTACCACACAAGTCTCATGACTTCTCATCAAGCTTTAGACAAGTATTCGAGCTTAATGGTTGTCCATTAAGTAAGAACTTGGGGCAAGCTTTGAATTGTGGGAGAGTACCCTTGACAAGAATCTTTAGTCAATAGGTGAGTATTCTAAATGAGTAGATTGAGTGAGATAGGTAAATTCACTTGCAAAACAGACAACTTCATGAGTCGTCGGGGGGTTGAGTAGCAAAGTATTGATGACTGAGTTGGCTCCTCCTAGGCAACATTAATGTTTCTAGCTCTTGGGCAACTTACCTATTAGGGCAAGTTCAGACCTTGAAAACACCAAATTATAAGCTGTTCAAGCTCAGTCATATTCAACGACATGATAAGCCCGATCCAAGTTCTCATGATGACTTGATTGATCTAACCCAAACAAATATAAATGTAACTTTAGCCTTAAGCATTCTTTTTGTCAGCATTTCGGCTGGGAACTTTTAGAAAAGCATTTTTGTTAAGATTCCAGAGAAAAAAAAAACTTTATGCTGTGTTACTTCTAATGTTTAATGGTTGATGCCATTTCTGATTCAATTCTAGCATTTGGTACTAAATGGGTTATCTTACCTGCCAGAATGGCTCGAAGAACTTCGGCGGGTTGTACAAAATAGCTAAACCCAATCTTTCAGGATAATGATTCTGAAGGACATCAGCAGTTTCCTTTGTCACCTTAACTGATATGTGAGACATGTTGTACCCACAAAAATCAATCAGCCATACCATTTGTTCCTGGTCAGATTGCAAATTTAAGATAGCATTCTCCATGCAGTACACCAAATATCTGATCTTGCCCTTGTTTGATTTTGAATTCTGTAAAAGTAATTTATTTTTTGTTATAAGAAATAATTGACAAGGAAAGGAAGCAATGAGGTATCGCCATAGTGAAAAATAAATAAAATCAAACCTCGCGACCAGGTCTCATAACAAGAATGCTTCTCCCATGTTTGTCAAAGCAATTAGATCGGTAAATTTTTCCAGTCTCAGCTTCCTGAGCTATTTCATCCTGAAAAACAAAAACGTTATAAAAAGGAACTAGGAGTTAGAAGATTTAGCTGACTGAAAGCACAAGTTCCTGCAAAGCAAAGACGACATAAAAAGGAACAAGGGTTAGAACATTAAGCTAGAAATGTCGTTGCTTAATTAGTAATTTTCAAGCCCATGTCATAGAGTTTTTAATTGCCACATATTAAAACAAGTTTTAAAAGGAAGACGATACAAGGCAAGCACTTTTCGTTTCATTAATATCTCATGCTTCAAACTTACATATTTATTGGCATATTATTACATATCAGGACCATTTTAATCCAATAATTATTGTATGTTTAATGTATCTACAAAATCATGATACCCAGTAAGGTCTAAGTTTGTTACAAGTATTTAACTGTGGGACACAAAAAGGCTCCATTTATTCTGATATGTAATAATATGCCACTAATAATGTAAGTTTGAAGCATGAGATATTAATGAAACGAAAAGTGCTTGCCTTGTATCGTCTTCCTTTTAAAACTTGTTTTAATATGTGGCAATTAAAAACTCTATGACATGACATGGGCTTGAAAATTACTGGTTTTAATAATCAAACTAGAAGTCAATTGTTATTAGCGAAAACATTGGTCCAGAGACTCAAATAAACATGAAAAATTATCATCAACCAATGCCGAAAGTTTAGTAGATCATAGGCTTTCATTAAATGAGTAGGAAATTGATTCATTCGCAACAACATTTATTACAACATTGCATTCGTTAAAGAAAACAACCCGCACTTTTAAACTTTAAACAAGAGAAAAAAGAGAGAACATGGCAATAATGTCTGGAGGTTCCCAGTTGCATTGGATATGAGCACAAAGGAAGGCAGCCACATGCATATCAAAGTCTTAGAAATATATAGTAAATAGACAATTCTGCATACCCTTGACTATTGGTCTTTTAAAATTTCCATTGCTTCTACGAATTTCTTTCATACACAAAGAATGCCTTTCACTACTTAATTATTCCAGCTTTCAAACAACGGATTTTTGCAGACTCGTGGCGCATCATCTGTGGACAACAAAATTTTTTAGTAAATAAATATAGGTAACAGTAGTATTATTTTTGTGTAAAATTTATTTTCTTTATTAGTATTATAACAAACTGAACATTCCTATATGTAGGAGTAATGCATAAGAGATCTTGTGATTTAGTGGTTTTTTACTGTTTGGATGATTGTTGTCTATTCTTGTAAATATTAGACTTATATGACGCTAATATCGGACAGTCATTCCCATCTTAGTAATTCCAAATTCTTTGACCGGGTTGTGAAATCCATGGGGTTGAATATCTTCTATACAAGCTAAAAATTATAATGGTTTCATCTCTGAATTGGCAGCATCACCAATATCCCCAGCCACATTGCTTGCATTTCAACAAACACCAACAATGACTCCTGTTGTGAGTTATGCGTAATTAGAGAATTTTATTGGGTTTATTTGTTAAACATTATAACATCTATTTATACACATTGAATGAAATAGCAAGTTTAATTACCAAATCATTTCAATTTTGACCCAGAACTCCATCTTTTCCTTTCTTCAGCTTTGTCGTCATGAAGCAGCCACGACTAGAGCTCGCTGGGATGGCAGCAAGGGGATCGCAGATCGCTCTGGGAAGGCAGTGAGAAGATTGTGGCTCGCTGGGAAGGCAACTAAGGGATCGCGGCAGAGAGCACTGGCGATACAGCTGTTGGGAAAACAACTACGTTATCACAGTCTGCGGCGTGAACCCTTGCACGAGGCTCACTAGGAAGGCAACTAAGTGATCGCGACAGAGGTGTTTGGTCAGGAAGGGCTTCGTTTTGTGGTTTTTCGTACGCAGCAGTCCTGCCATTGCCTTCACCGTGAGAAACAACTTGGAATTGCGGCTCGGGAGTGAGGAAATCAGCGGAGCAGGGCCTTTGTTTCTGGAGTTGCACTCGACGGGCAGGGAAGCGAAGGATCGAAGCGACTACAAGTTAGCGTGCAACACAAAGGGGTTGCGGCTTCATAATGGCTAAGACTAAGCAGATCATACAAACTTACAACAGTAAGGAAGTCGTATGTGATCTGTAGGATCTAGACTCGATCTTTGTGATTAAGAATATTAGGAGACGACGATAGTTCACGAGGCAAGGGATTGAAACTTCTGGGTAAGATAAATCTTGAAGTTCTGAAGATCTTGGTCAAGCTCATATAATGAGGTAGTGTCTCGCGGGGGCAAAGGATTGGAACTTCTGGTAAGATAAATCTTGAAGTTCTGAAGATCTTGGTCAAGCTCATATAATGAGGTAGTGTCTCGCGGGGGCAAAGGATTGGAACTTCTGGTAAGATAAATCTTGAAGTTCTGAAGATCTTGGTCGAGCTCATACAATGAGGTAGTATCTCGACGGGAGCCACTATCTCAACACGTTTTCCGGCTCAACCGAGCGGACTTCTAGGAATGCCATAAGCTTTGACTATCTCGAGCTCAAGTAGGAAAGGTGCTCAAGCGAAGACCCGCAGGTGGTACAACTGCAGAGAAATAGGACACCAGAGCAAGACGTGTCTAAATCTACCAAAGCAGAGAGTCGGGAGGACGTGGATAGTCTAGAGGTTGTGGTAGTAATTGTGGGGGCTAAAGGGGTAAAAGAGGGGGCTATAGAGCAAGTCTAATGGTAGTGGAAAATAAGTGAATGACAGAAGTGGTCTTTACCGATGAGGATCACGAATTACTGGAGATGTTGAAAAGAAAGCAGACAGCGACATGTGATGTCATTAGGGATGCATCCACATTATCGTCATCCAACGGAAACACTGCTAGTTATGCTCACCTAATCAAAGGTGCTTGTGATACACATGCTCTTACCACTATATCCACCACAAGTTCACCAAAATGGATAGTAGATTCTGGTACATCTCGAGATGTGACAGGTGTCGCTAGTGAGTTCTTTTCCTATACACACCTAGCACTTTCAAAGAGCATTTAAATCGTTGATGGTACAACACAGCATGTAGTTGGTAATGGTACAGTGAGGTGTAACAATTCTATAACTTTGTCCAATATTTTGCATGCTCCTTCATTTCCAGTGAACCTTTTATCTATTAGTGTCATTATACTCAAACTAAAATGTGTTGTTTCATTTCATATTCCAAATGCAATCTTTCAAGAGAAGGGGAATGGCAGAAAATTTAGGACTGAAATGTGCAAAGTGGACTATGGTACTTAGATAGAGAGGAGATTGATTCAGACTTGAAATCCATGGTTGAGAAGAAGCAAGAGCATTTGAGAGGAGTGTGGAGGATGTATTGTTGCCACATACGGACGCATGGGACACTTCTCGTTCAGTTTATTGAGTATTTTGTACACAAAATTGTATGAAAAGACAAATAAAGAAAAAACTGGTGTGATGCTTGTGAGTTTGGCAAGCTCACTAGGAGCTCTTATGTCAGTTCTTTGTCCTACTAGTTGTACAAATAGTTTTTGTTATTTGGTTATGTTTATTGATTGTTTTTTTTTATCTTGATATACTTGATAAAACAGAAGAGTGAGGTGATTGTTTGCTTTAAAGATTTTCATAATACAATCCAAACCCAATACGGGGCAGTTGTGAAGACACAGCGGTCTAATAATGGGAGAAAATATATCAACAAAGCATTTAGGGACTACCTGTCAGCTTAAATGATACAAAATCAAACCACATGCCCATACACATCAGCATAGAATGGAGTAGCAAAGAGGAAGAATCTTCTAGAGGTAGCCCGGAGCATGATGATGGCAATGAATGTCCCACAAAGCTTGTGGGGCTAAGTCGTGTTGACAGTCGCTCAATTGATTAATAAAATGCCCTCAAGAGTACTGGAGTGGAAGTCTCCTTATCAGATGTTAAAAAGAGACAATAGTAGGATCCTTCTATTGAAATTATTTGGATGTGTATGTTTTATGAAAGACAACATGTCATCTGTAGGAAAGTTGGATCCCGGAGTTGTGAAATGTGTGTTCGTGAGTTATTCTGCTACTCAGAAAGGTTATGTTTGTTAGAATCCGATTGAGAAGAGACTCTTTGTGAGTATGAATGTATCATTTAGAGAGTTTGAACCATATTACACTTTAGAGGTGAATTCACCCTTCGGTGACTCAACAGACACTAGAGATATGAGACAAGAGAGAGTGAGTAGTGGTGATGGAGTGTTGCAAGTGAGAGCAATGTCATGTCTTGTGATGTGGGATGAATCAACTGAGGAGACAGAAATTGAGGATATTGAACCTAGAGGTGGTGGGATTCAAGCTAGAAGTAAGCTAAGGGTGTATACACTGAAGAAGCAAACTAAGGGAACAGAGTCAACAGAGCCAACAAGTGTCTTGTCCCCAACTCTTGAATCACTTATACCATCTACTTTTGATTCAAAACTCCCAGGTGATATTATTCCTCCTTTGACCACTCCCCCCCCCCCCCCAACGTTAAGGATAACCTCCCACAACAATGTGAAACATCCTCCTGATCGTTTTGGGTGAAAACTTGACATTGCAAATTTTATTTCTTATTCTAACATCTCATCTTAGCATAGAGCATTCATTGCATCATTGGACTCTGTCCTTATACGCAAGTGTTGACAGACTGCTATAGAAGATCCCGAGTGGAAAACGATGATTCATGAAGAGCTTGGAACTCTTGATAAAAAAGGAACATGGGAGATTCTACCACTACCAATAGAGAAGAAGAAAGTTGAATGCAAGTGAATCTTCAGAGTAAAGCAAACTCCAGAAGGAAAGGTGGAGAGTTACAAAACACGACTAGTGACAAAGGGGTACAGTCAGACGTATGGCATTGACTACGATGATACCTTTGCACCAATTGCAAAGATGAGCACGATGAGGACACCAACATCTCTGACATTGAATGGTGAATGAACACTTCACCAATTGGATGTGAAGAATGTTTTTCTTTATGGAGAGCTACTGGAGAAGGTATATATGGAGATACTACCATAATTCAGTACATCTCAGACAGTGGGC